GGACATCAAAGCGTTCTACATGCGTCTCAACGATTCGGGCACCGACGGCGCTCCGGCGGACACCGTCGCGGCGGTCGATATCCTCGTCCCGGGCGTCGGCGAACTCGTCGGCGGCTCGCAACGCGAGGAACGCCTCGATGTCCTCGATCAACGCATCGACGAAATGGGGCTGATCAAAGACGACTACTGGTGGTACCGCGATCTTCGTAAATACGGCACCGTCCCCCACGCCGGGTACGGACTCGGTTTCGAGCGCCTGATCCAGTTCTGCACAGGGATGCAGAACATCCGCGACGTGATCCCGTTCCCACGCGCCCCGCGTCAAGCGGAGTTCTAAATGCATAGGTTCGTGCAGACACTCGTATGTGCATGCATTGTCTCAATCGACCAAGCGTCGATCCCATCGCAGCGTGTGCATGAGACGCTCAGTCTTATGGAAGACGCTGTCCGTGCGGATGATATCGGTGCGTTCATGTCGCAGGTAAGCACCAAAGACCCTGTGCTCACGACGGAACTTAGGGCATGGTTTGAGGATATGACGATCAATCCAGTCACCGAGTTCGAGATCGAACCGATGGAGGACCTCATCGTCGGGATCACGGACCAGGTCGCAATGATGCAGATACGCATGCACTGGACGCTCGAATCCGACTCCATCGCTCGCTCAAACGAGTTCAATGCGCTGTTCGTCCCGATGGGTGGTGAAGCGAGTGGCCCCTGGCTCTTCGCGGGAAGAGCGTGGGAGTTCAAGCACACAAGCGACGAAGGACTCCGCGTGATGTCCTCCAGACAGCACCACGAACTCGCGAAGAACATCGCTGAAGTGGTCCCGAGTATTCAGAGCAAGATCGAAGACGCGATGGACTGCGATGTGCATCATCCGCTGACGATCAAGATCTATCCGGCGATGCAGGATTTGCAGTTCTCGATCTCGATGGGATACCTCAATCCAATCGCAGGATGGAATGAGCCTGGAGAGTCCATCAAAATTCTCGGACGCGAATCAACTTCCGTAGAAGACATATCGTCATTGCTGTCGCATGAGATCGGTCATGCTGTGAGCTTCGAGTTTGGTGAGCAGATCATCAACGCGCCGTGGTGGTCGCTCGAGGGGATCGCGGAGCTCGTCGCGGATGAGTACCGATCAACCTCTCCAGAAGAACGCGAGCTTGCGATCGCAAAGCAGATCGCGCGAGGTGACCGACGCACATGGGACCAACTCTCCGATTTCAAAGGCGAAGCGCTCAATCATTCGAGCTATGTCTACTCGCAAGGATGGTCCATGATCCGCTACATCACCAACCTCTACGGCCGCAACGCACGCAACAAATGGTTCTCCGAAATGGGTAAAGGTGTCAGCGTCGAGGAGGCAACGCAATCCGCTTTGGGATTGAGCTTTGAAGACCTTGATCTCGCATGGGAAGCAGAGATGCTGTCGATCGCACAGCAAGCAGTATCAGAATCGGATTAAGAATCAGGCAGCACGCTGCTCGGCTCTGGATTGATCGGCTCGCTCGCATCAATCACACGCGTTGGTGCTGTGTCAGGCTGCGGAATGTGTGGCGAGCGGAACATCATCAGGTAGATCCACACTACCATTGCGAGGAACCCTGTCCACAGCGCGATATATCCAACCGCGTTGCGGATTTCGGGAGATTGTTTCGCGAGCGGCTTGGAAATCACGAGCACCGCTTTGGCGCCAAGAGGGCGCGCGTGTCAATGTCAGAACGATCGCGGTGCCCATCCCAGCCGCGACGGCATCCATGGTTTTGCCCTTGAATGGGTCATACCGATCAATACGAGGTCGAACGATTTCAATAGATCGTTCAAACCACGCGGGAACAGCAATGGGTTCAGCGGCTTCAATTTGTTCGAGCGCTTCGATCTCTTCAAGAACCTCGCTGTCAGGTTCTGTTTTCGATTGCTCGGCTTCAGTATGTTCTGTGGGTGGAGGCGCTCCATTCTCAGAGACAAGCTCGGCATCCGCTTTCTCAGGTGTTTCATTCTCGGTTGACGCTTCCGGCTCAGCAGTCGCTTCTGGTGTACTCTCTGTTTCCGATGCAGTGTCAGTGTCTGAATCCACACGCTCTTCAACTGAGGTTTCTACAGCATCACTTTCGAGGATCTCTCCAATAGCTTCCTCGATCGATGCTTCATTTTCAGTAGTGGACTCTGCAACAGGTTCCGATTGTTGCTCATCGCTTTGGAGTGCCGCTTCCACTTCCGTTGGGACCGCATCTCCGCTGACAAGCTCTCCATCCTCAGTCTCGAAATCTCCTTCGAGCATGTCGTCCGCGGCTTCTGCGAGCGCTGAATCAAGCAGATCCATCGAATCATCAATCGACTCCGATGATGCTGTATCCTTCTCGATTGTGAGTGCCGCCTCGATCTCTTCAAGTGATGCGGATTCGTCGTCAGATTCTGTAGAGTCTTGTGCTGATCCGACAGGATCTTCATCGGCTTGGTCTGTTTCGGAATCTGTCTTCGGAGACAGCATCGCTTCGAGTTCTTCATCAACTCCAGAATCTTGCGAATCTTCTTCAAGCAGTGCATCAATCGCGCCTTCCAGAGCGTCGTCTGTTGTGTCCGTGCTCTCTGGGTTCGATGCTTCATGTTCTTCTTCAGTGCTCTCACCAGCCGCGGCTTCGATCTCGCTGCTCTCTAGATTGAGCTCAGAAGTGTCGGTCGTCTCATTGTCAGCATCGCTGCTTGCTTCCGCAGAATCTAGCAGCGCATCGATACTCTCCTCCACCAATCCCTCGGCTTGCTGCTCGATATCCTCGATCGCATCGAGCGCCTGTTGAGCGCTCTCAATCGAGTCGGTTGGAGCTTCTTCCGTTTGATCTGCAGGTTCAGGATGTGGTTCGGCGACCGCTCCATCGTCAGTCAGCAGCGCGCCAGACTCCACCGCGCGTTCCTCTTCTGGGGTGTACGCCTTCGCGGTTTCTTCGATCTGTCCGAGCAACTCGTCGACCTGCTCGATCAGTTCGGGTTGGATGTCTTCAGTTGAATCTGACACAACATGCAGATGATCGACCCAATTCCCCTCGAACTCAAGAGATATCGGCTGTAAACTCTTGGATATGAATCCATTGGGGTCGCATCCCGAACCACACAAGAACGCATGACCACACCCACTCCCATCCATCATCGTGTGATATTCTCGGACCTGCGTGGCTGCCGCTGCCCGGAACTGATCACAATCGAGGGTCCAGAAGCGCAGCACCTCGCTCGCGTCAAACGCGCTCGCATCGGAGAAACGGTTGGGGTCCTGGATGGTCAGGGCGCGATGGGATTCGGAGAGATCGCCGAGATCACAGGATCCAAGCAGCGTCCGATGGTCGCGATCCTCCTTGATCACATCGACATGATCGCGTCAGTGGAGCCTCGCATTGAGATCTGCTCAGCGATCCCCAAGGGAGATCGTCTGGATCGGATGATCGATCAGCTCACACAGATCGGGGTCGAATCGTGGAGGCCGTTGATCTGTGATCGCTCCGAGCGTGATCCCGACTCCATCCGGACCGATCGGATCGAGCGAATCATCAACGAAGCGTGCAAGCAGTGCATCCGCGCCCGCTCGCTGATGGTTCAACCCCCGATGACCTTTCCTGAAGCACTCACAAACACTGATGTCCCAACGATCATTTGCGACGGATCTGGACAGTCAACAATCGTTCCAGTCAAGGACACGCGATCTAGGTTACTCATTGGTCCTGAGGGGGGATGGTCCGACGATGAACGAACAGCGATGCGCGAGTCTGATGCACAGATATGTCGCATCGGAGTCCATACCCTCCGATTAGAATCCGCCGCAGTGGTTGCTGCTTCTATTGCGTTGTCAGCTGCTCCCTCCCCGATCCCGTTTGGAGCTTCCGAATGATCCGTAATATATTCTCATGCCTAGTCCTCTGCGTAGCCGCTCTCGGCTCCAGCGCTGAACCGCTCGATCCACAATGTTATGAACGAGGACGAGCGGTCGTCGATCGCGCGATCGAGTATCTCAAATCCACACAGAACACAGATAACGGCGGATGGTCGCACAACCCTTCGGGACCGAACCTCCCCGCGATCACCGGACTTGTTGTGAATGGCTTGCTCCTGGATCCACGCATCGACGCGAGTGACCCAACGGTTGAGCGCGGCATCGACTACATCCTCTCGTTCGCCAAAGACGACGGCTCGATCCACGACAACATGCTCCCGAGCTACAACACCGCGATCTGTGTGAGCGCCCTGAGCCATGCACGCACACATCGCGCCGATTCAGCACTCGCATCAGGGATCGCGTTTCTCAGAACCGTCCAGTATCACAACAACAACACGGGCGGCATCGAAGCGCCAGACTTCAAAGAACCCGTCGATCCCGATCATCCCTACTACGGCGGCGTCGGCTACGGAAAGCACGGTCGTCCCGACCTCTCAAACCTCAGCTTCTTCCTCCAAGCGATGCACGACGCGGGAGTCTCGTCCGAAGACCCCGCATACAAGCGAGCGCTCGTGTTCCTCAAGCGCGTGCAGATGGACGAGGACATCAACGAGATGCCGTACGCAGACGCTTCCAAGCAAGGCGGGTTCATCTACGCGACCGTCCCCGACGCGGAATCCGTGGACAGCATCCCGGGACAATCGCAAGCGGGGGGGTTCAAAGAAACCACCGCAGACGGAAGCTCGATCACACGCCTCCGCGCCTACGGCTCCATGACCTACTCCGGATTCAAATCGCTCCTGTTCGCCGACCTCCCACCCAACGATCCGCGCGTCCTCGCGGCGTGGAGATGGATCGAATCCAACTACTCCCTCGAAGAAAACCCTGGGATGGGTGATCAGGGATACTACTACTTCCTCTGCGCCATGGGACGCGCCCTCGATGCCTACGGCTCAGACACCGTCGCGGATCACGACTGGCGCGTCGATCTCATCAGCACACTCGAATCACTCCAGCAAGACGACGGATCCTTTTCGATCAAGCACGAACGCTGGATGGAGAATAACCCAACACTCATCACCGCGTACGCACTCATCGCGCTCCAGCATGCTCTAAACTAAGATATTTGAAACCATAGATTCAAACGGAGAGACCCAATGACCACCGCAAGCCAAACACTCCCGAAACACTACACCGACCTCTGCGCCTTCAAACGAGAAATCGGGAACCTCGGATCCGTCGCCGCCCTCGTCGGATGGGACCAGGAAACCTACATGCCCCACGGCGGCGCCCGCGCTCGCGCCGAGCAGTCCTCGCTCCTAGCGCGTCTCCTCCACGAACGAGCATCATCGACCAAGCTTGGTGATCTGCTCGCGCAGTGCGAAGCGGACTCATCCCTCAACGATCGGACCTCAGAGCACGGCGCAAACCTTCGCGAGATGCGCCGCGACTATGACAAAGCGACCAAGCTCCCTTCGGATCTCGTCGCGAACCTTGCCAAAGCGCAATCCGAAGCGCAGGATGTCTGGAAGGTCGCTCGTGCCAACGATGATTTCAAGTCCTTCGTCCCCGCGCTCACCAAGGTCATGGACCTGACCAAAGAGAAGGCATCGTGCCTCAAGACCGACGAGCACAACGAGCTCTACGACGCGCTGCTGGGTGAGTACGAGCCGGGAGAGAAGGCGACGGAGATCGAAGCGGTCTTCACCCCTCTCCGCGATCGTTTGAGCGCGTTCATCGCCGAGCTCCGTGACAACGGCACTCCCCCCAAAGTGGACTTCCTCCATCGCGAGATCCCAGTCGAGAAGCAACACGCGTTCGGACAAGCCGTGACCGCCGCGTTCGGATTCGACTACAAGAAGGGGCGCCTCGACACGACCACCCACCCCTTCTGCTCTGGATTCGGTCCCGGCGACACACGTATGACCACGCGCTACTCGCTGACCACCTTCCCCGATGCGATCGGTTCAACGATGCACGAGTGCGGGCATGGTCTGTACGAGCAAGGCATACCCAAGGAATCTGGTCTCTTCGGCACGCCGCTGACCGAAGCGATCTCGTTGGGAATCCACGAATCGCAATCCCGCATGTGGGAGAACATGGTCGGACGGAGCAAAGCGTTCTGGACCTGGGCGCTGCCGCTCGCGAACAAGCACTTCGACGGCGCCTTCGACGACATCGATGTCGAGACCTTCACCAAAGCGATGAACACCGCGACGCCGAGCTTCATCCGCGTCGAGAGCGACGAGAGCACTTATAACCTCCATGTCATGCTCCGCTTCGAGCTTGAGCGTGCGATGCTCCGCAATGAGCTCGCGATTCAGGACCTCCCCGAAGCGTGGAACGCGAAGTTCAAGGACTTCCTCGGACTCGACGTCCCAGACGACGCAACGGGATGTTTGCAGGACGTCCACTGGAGCTTCGGTCTCGTGGGATACTTCCCGACTTACTCGCTCGGGAACCTCAACGCGGCGCAGATGTGGGAGACGATCAACGAGCAGATCCCAGATCTCGACGACCAGATCGCGCGAGGCGAGTTCGGG